CCCCCCCCCCCCCCCCCAAACAGCCCTTGAACTGAATGTCAGTTGGCCCGATACCCATCCATCCATCCATCCGTCTGTGTGTGTGTGCTGACCATGAAGAGAAGGTCTTCGCTGTCCATGATCTCCAGCGGGCAGTACGGCCGCATGCCGTCCTGCACCACATCGCACGTATGACATGACATGAACGAATGGATCTGTGTGTGGGTGACTCCCTCCCTCCCTCCCTCCTTCGTGTCGGCTGGATGCATCTGTCTGTCTGCGTGCCCACCAGCATCTCGTGACCCCACACGTCACGGCCCTCGATCCAGTTGATGGCCTGACCTGCACAACATGACACAACACAACACAACACACCCATGGAGGCGTTGCAATGCACCGGATGGCCGCCTGTCCTTCGTTCGTTCGTCCGCTCACCTTGGTGCTGGAAGACGACACACGTATCGACGAGTGGGCATTCCTTGAGGGCCTCGTCCATGATGTTCTTGAGGGGGATGATCTTGCCGCCACGGATGCCCTGGTCAGCAGTTATCACCTACACACCACACACACCAACACAACACATCAATTACACCACACAAGAATCCATCTCTCTCTCTCTCTCTCTGCGTGTGTGTCCGTGTGTGGATTGCGTACGATTTTGCAGTGTGCGTCGATGAGTCTGTCTCTAAGATTGGGTGCAGAGAAGCCGGCAAACACGACGCTGTGGATGGCGCCCAGCCGCGCACACGCGAGCATGGCGTAGATGGTCTCGGGGATCATGGGCATGTAAATGCCGACGGTGTCGTAACGACGCACCCCTGACAGACAAACAAACGAACCAACGACCCACACATGTCTGTCTTGTGTGGATGTGTCACACAGGGTGGTGTGGTGTGGGTGCAGTGCACCGACCGAGTCGTTTGAGCATGTTAGCGAATTTGCAGACCCTGTTGAGGAGGGCCTTGTAGGTGATGGTCTGTGTGTGTTGGGGGTCGTCCCCCTCCCAAATGATGGCGATGCGCTCGGGAGCCACCTCTGCCCAGCGGTCCACACAGTTGTCGCATACCTGACAGACAGGCAAAGCATAATTCATGGGATGGATGGGACGGACGGCAGCACAGCGAGCACAACAACACAACACAACACAGCTGCATGTGAATCTATCTGTGTGTGGGGTCGCGCCTGTCTGCATATATTTGTGTGTCTGTTTGTGGAATGTTGGTTTACACACGTTGAGTTTTCCGTTGATGAACCAGCTCACGTCGCCCTCCGGGTGCATGTCGCTGCACCACACACACACACATGCACACATGTACACCACACTGTGTGTGTGTTGGACTGCGTGTTGGTCTGTCTGCTTTGCTTTGCTTTGCTTGAGGGTATGGATCTTTACCCGCCCTGGACTTTAGTAAATGGGTGTAGCCATCTGAGTGTGCTCATGGCGATGTCCCGCCAGAAGTTGTCGCTGTCCTTGATGCTGCGGTGGTACATCTGCTCGTAACACTCCTGCAATGCAGTAAATAGATGCGCACACACGGCCACAGACATGCACTCAGAACACACACGTGCATCTGTGTGAGCGTGTGTGGTGTGTGTGTATGTGGGAGAGAAACCGAGAGTTGACTGACCATGCTGTAGATGTGGCAACGCTCCTTGTTCTGCAGGCCAACCAACAGCCCAGCCATATGGGCAATCAATCAAATCAAAACACAGACAGACAGACCTTCTGCGCTGCGCATCCTGACTGACCTGCAGCGATATGTTGTAGACTTCGTCCACAGGCAGCGCCGCTGCCGCCTGTGCAATGGTGTCGACGTGCTCGATGGAGGGCGGCGGGCTGCGCTCCCGAGTCACAGACGGACTGCCGGAGTGCTCCGTTCGCGGCATCTTTATTTCCTTGTTTCCCTTTCTCTCTGTCTGCCTCCGAGCCGCACAGAGATGAGATGCCGAGATGGAATAGAGGACAGTGATGGAAACCCGCCCAACTCAGTCACAGAGGCTGAGCGAGACTCAGATCACCGGATGGGATGCGCCTGCTCCCCGTCAGGCCGTCACACAACACACTGCGAGCCGGAGATCTCCGCAAGCTCGCCATTGAGGAAGAGCACAGCGATGGGGGATTCCAGGTATCACACGCGCCTCTCGGTGCACTGCATTGCACTGCACTGCATCTGTGATGCACTCACTGATGTGTTTGTTTGCGTTGTATTGCTTCGTCAGTTTGTCGGAGCAGATAGTGAAGGAGTCGGCTGAGTGTCTGAATGAGAGCAGCAGCCACCCCCTGTCGATGATATGGGGCGAGAAGAGCCAGTACCTGGAGAGCGAAGATGACCCAAACCTCCTCATCAAGCTGCCTTTCAGGTCGGTCAATGCGCTGCACAGCCCTCCATCTCTTTGTGCACTGCAAGAGGGTCTGTCTGTCTGTTTGTCTGTCTGTCTGCCTGTCTGTCTGCCTGTCTGTGTGCCGTGCGTGGCGGTGCGTGGCGGTGCGTTGTGTGTGTGTGTGCAGGCAGCCGGTGCGCATCACGGGCATTCGAATCGACGCAGATGCTGAGGACGGCACGGCGCCACAGACGTAAGAAAGACACACAAGAGTGTGCTTATGCGCTACAGATAATTAAGTGTGTGTGCGTGCAGCATCAAGATCTTTCGTGACCAGCCGAGCCTGGGGTTCATCGAGGCCGAGTCGGACACGCCCACCGAGCAACTCGCCCTCACGACAGAACAACTCGGCACCGTGGTCAGTCGGAACGGCATACACACAAAGCCATCCGGGTGCGGTGAACGTGTGTTTTCTGTGTGTGTGTGTGTGTCCGTGTGTATGTGTGTGGTGTGTGTGTTTGCTCAGCGTCCTTTGCGTGCGCCTCGCTTCACCAACGTGACGCAGATCTGTGTGTTCGTCGAGGACAACCACGGCGCAGACACCACACGCATCAACAAGCTAGAGCTCCTCGGTCAGACAGACAGACAGATAGACAGACAGAGAGTCAACCGGCCCCCATGACGGATACACCGTGTGTGTGTGTTTGTGTGCATGTGTCGTGTGTGCAGGCAGTGTGCCTAAGGACATGGACATGAAGGAGTGGACGCCCAAGCCGAAAGAGGGCGAGCAGATCGCACCCGGACACTGACTGATATGACGGAGCCAGCCAGCCAGAAACACACACACAGGCAGTCCGTGTAGGAGAGCGCCAGAGGGACGACTGCTGTTGGTCTGACGCTGCATGAATGCCTCGCCGTGCCGTGCCGTGCCGTGTGCGGTTTTGTCGGTGATCATGATGAGTGTATTTAAGTGACGGCTTCCTTCCACGCGATCTTCCTTCACTGCTGATTGATTGATTGATTGACTGACTTATCGCTTGCAACACGAACAGACGTCCATTGCTGTCCACACACAGATACACACACACATGCACACACATACTACACAGACAGACAGAGATGCTACGTGCCCACATACATCGGCCTACAGAGATGGGATCGACGAGCCACTCACTCACTGCCTTACTTATGATTGATTAAATTTGCCTCAATCAATGCTCTCGCTTAGCTGCCACGCTCACAGAGCACTGCTGACTACAAACATAGGTATCTAGGTGTGTGTATTCTACAGAGAGATGATATAATAGACACCCACCAAAAACTGTTGACACACATGAACGAACGAAGCGATGGAGGGATGGACAACAAACACAAACAAACACAACTGCTGGCTCCTCCCCTTGGCCTCCGCTCTCCTCTGCTGTGCGACTCTTTGTCACATAAATGTGCGCACACATTCAGACATACATACACACAGCTCCCTCCCTCCCTCTTCGATTGCTCTCATACACAGAGGCCGCCCCATCACATCACTCACGCCCTCTTACTCAATTGCGGCCATGCCATGCAGAGCAAAGCTATCCCCTCCTTATCAATGGCGTCACTCACTCACTCACTTATTGCGCATCGGTATCTCAGGGCTGAAACACACTCACAGAGAGAGAGAGCACAGCACATCAACAGGAAACTGCATGCGGCAACAGGCTGCCTGTCCGTCGTCAGTCTGTCGAGATGCTCACCCGTATTTCAGTGCATTCTCTGCATGGATGGAATGGATGGATGGATGGATGGACCACATAACACAACAGGAAGTCAGTGTGTGGGATGATTCATGGCCTTCCTTTGTTGTCTCCCGTCGTGTTGCCTACCGATGGCCGAGATGGCAGCCATGGCCATGGCGCACGCCACCATGCCGCCGCCCGAGTACCAGGCCATCTTCCCCGCCAGGCGGGACGCACCGATGATGCCCAGCAACACACCCACACGCAGATATCCTTTCAACGAACTACACACACACACATACACACACACACAAGCAGGTCCGCACGAGACAGCCGCCCGCATCCATGTGTGTGTGTGTGTGTGTGTGTGTGTGTCGGGTTACTTCATGGTTTTGAGGGCTTTGAGGCATTGTGTGCAGTGTATGATGTGGCTGTCCACGTGGTTCAGCAACTCGCTGCGAGGCGTGAGCCTGCACACACCACACATGGACGATACACGTACACACGTGCGGCACGGATTCGTGTGTGCGTCGTCTCGATGGTGTGTCATGTGTGTGTGACTCTACTGACTTGGTGAGTCCTTCGAGCGGCTCGAAGCCCCACGGACCGTTAGACCCCCACTTCTTGACCCACTGATGGATGGATGGATACATCAGTGGGCTTTCCCGATTGCCTGCTCACCGTTCTGAATTGTGCGACGTACAGGTCGGTGGCTGTGGGCAGGTAGTAGTTCTGCGGCAGCTTCCCCGGACCACCCGCGGCGGCGATGCGGCGATCCTGACACAACAGTGACATCAGCAGCACCAGCAGCATCAACCATTTCTGCCATTCTTTCTTGACGCTGCTCTACCCCTCCCCACACCAGCCCAGCCCACCCATTCAGTTCGTCACTCATTCACTCACCTGCACATGCAGAAAGATGTTGTCATCGTCGAGCGATCGCAGCGCCTAAACACATACAGGGACACATGGAAGAGCACATGCATCCATCCCTCCATTCGCACACACACGCGCACATGGAGATGTATTGTTGGCTAGATCGATGGATCAGTGTTGTTGTTGTATATCGGCTCAACGTGTGTGTGCAGCAGCGGCTGTATGCCTCAGCCCTATCATCGGTCACATCATCTCTCACTATCTCTCTCTCCGGTCTATACCACATGTGCATGCGTGTGTGTGTGTCTCACGAATAGGTGGACGAGCCAGAGGGGCACTCGCCGCAGCAAACCCACCACCGGGCCGCCGTTGTCAAACTGTGTCCACAGATGGACATAAGAGAGAGAGAGAGACCGTCTTTCATCCATCCCTGCCATCATGGCCTGTGAAGGTCTGGCTGCACATGCGCACCTTGACAGTGATTCGTCCGATGATCCTGGCGCGTCCCGGCTCCATCGGCACACAGTAGTGTAGCGCCGTCAGGGAGTACCCCTTACGCGTGGCGTTGTGGTGCTGATACATCGGACTGCACACAAAACCCACAGACAGACACACACACACAAACAACCATCTTTCCACTCCCCCCACCCTCCCATTGCAAACACACATGCCTACGCGCGGAAGACCGTCTCGACTCGCTCCTCGCTGTCCTCATAGACGCCCTCAAAGCCGCGCTCGGATGCGGGCCTTGTCATCCGCAGTGGCAAATGTTTGGCCTTCTTTCGACTCGACGCACTCCCGTGGTGCGTAATGGGTACGTGGCTCTGATCGATGAGGTTTTCAAACAGCGTCGCGTAGTCATACGGCACGTCGCGGAACGAGTCGAATGTCACGGCGTTGGGCTGCTCGCTGTCCACCGTCTCGCTCGTCAACATGGCCGGCCATCCTGCCTCTGCCCCTCCCCCGTGCTGCTGCTGTGTGTCGGGTGTGGGCCTCACCCAGACGAGCCCCTGCTGCTCCTGGCAGGGGAAGATGGTGGCGCACGCACGAGTGCCGATGGGCAGGGGGGTGTCTGGCTGGGCCTGGGGGATGGCCGTGCAGCCGCCGGTAGAGCCCTCGAAGCGCCAGCCGTGATATGGACACCTGCACACATCCACCCACACACACACAGGGAGGGTCGTGCCTGCCTCCTAGGCAGCCTGCTGTCTCTGTTGGCTTACTCTACGTTGCCCTCGACGATTCGTCCCTCGCTGAGGGGCGCCATGCGATGCGGGCACCGATCCAATGCACATCGCCACTGCACTCACGCCACACCACAGCCAGGGGGGTATTCATCAACACACCCATGTTTGGCCCACGGTCTGTGTGTGTGAGAATACCTCTTGTTTTGGTTCGTCCCACCAGATGACCAGTGGTTGGTTTAGCAGAGTGAAGCTGAAAGGCCGCTCCTTGTCAGTACACGACACCGGCGCGATGGGATACCTATGTCAAACAACACACACACACGCACTCCTCCAGCAGGATGCAAATGTCCTTTTGAGACTCTGCGGCTGACCGACCAGTGTGCCATCCAGTCGAACGACGGTGCCGCCCTGCCACTGTCAGGCACATCTACCACCTCGTGGAGCTGGATGCCGCCCGTCGGCACACCCACATCCACCACGCTCGACGCCACGGAAGCAGATGCACTCGCATCCAGCGGCCCGCTGACTCCATAGCGATGCCTCATGCCTTTCAAGAGCCCACCGCCTGTCTTTGATGGTGACGGCGAAGGGAACAGGCGGCCGTGCGGCTGCAGCGCCCGCAGACGGGCGCACAGAATGCATGACAGCACCACTGCCAAACAGAGCCTCATGGCTGGCTGCCAAACTCAGCTTTGCGGGCAGCTTGATGCGACTGAGTGGACGTGTGAGCGGTTGTGAAGCACGTCAACAGATAGATCTATTCAGCGGAACGTGGCAGGACGGGGGAAGATTCGCACATATGAGCTCGCAAGCGATCAAATGGTGGCTCATGATAATTCATTGCAGGTCATTCGTGTGTATGCAGCAGACGATACACGAGATATATGCACCCGTCTGTCTGTCTGTCTGTCTGTCTGTTGTTATGTCTGTCTGTCTGTCTCCCACCAGACACACCAGCCGTGATGAAACTCATCAATCTCCATCTGAATGAGCACGGTGCTCTTTGAGTCTTGAAGTGGTACAAAAGGTCTTACACGTCATACATGCACAAAAGCACGAATAAGCACGAGTCACAGAACAGGCCATGCACGTCAACGCAGGCGGCAGGACACGCAGATAGGGACATACATCGAGGCAGTCATTACAGTACCCTTTCTCCCTCCCCCAAAGCACTAGATGGATGAGTACACGATGACATATAGCATGCACACACGGCTTTATCTACACAGTATCAACACAAAGCCTCACAGTGCAGGCATTCACATCCATGTGTATAAGGCAAGGTGTACACCTTCACACCAGTGCAAAAGCATGTATCGTGTGCAGATACGATTCTTAAAGGCACACCAGCACGCAAAAGCCTCCCAGACACAGCCGCACATCGAACTACGTGTGACACCCAAGTACAGGATTGCATGTTATACGACAGACACAAATTGCACGTACACGACAGACGACACAAGCATGCACATCAACAGCGTCCCACCGCCAATTTGGGCCACAGCAATGCCCTACGTCTGCACCACTTCAAGAGGAAGGCTCGATGTATCCCTGTTCGTAGACTGGCCCGGAGAACTCCTCCCTGTACTTTTGGCGGCAGGTGGGGCACTTACTGTCCCCCCGCTTGAAACGCTCGAAACAAACTACGACACCACACGCAAACACACACCCATATCTTCATTCCCTGAGACAGTACTCCTTCCATCCCTACCTCTGCAAAAGTATTTGTGTCTGCAGGGTATGAGCACCACTTCAGTGGGACGATCGTAACAAATTTGACATTTGGGAGGCGCAGCGGACTTGTTCTTCTTCTTCTCCTCCTCGTGCCTCGCTCTCTCCTCCTCCATTTCCGTCTGCATGGCATCGATAACGGCTGCCGACTCCTCCGCCTGCCTGCAAAGCTTCTCGTCCGCTGCCCCAAGCTGGCCCTTCACCGCCTCAAACTCGAGTTTGAGGAGGTGAAGGGCTCTCCCTTCCTCGCTGAGCCAGGCCGCATCCACAGTGGGGTCGGGAAGCACCGTAGAAGCCCACTTGCTTGCCTCATCAGCAACTAGGGGTAGGATTTCCTGGGTGGCACCGCCGCAACACTCGTGAAAGGCAGTCTGGAGGCCCTCCTTGGCGTCCTCGAGGTCACGAATCTCACGGGTCAGCTGAAGGCGAACAAGACGCAAGTGACAGTATTTCGTTACTCCTCGCTATCTGCATACCCGTTTCTCAACGTCCGCCGCGGTCTCAGAGGACGAGTCATGCCTATCACCCTGCAGAATCTTCATATGAGACACCGATCGAAAGGCAATTCTTCGTACAAGCGGGTATTTTTAGAGAAGCCTTATGCTTACGGCTCGGTTTTTGTCTGCAATTGCGTTGTCGATCTCCAGTATTTGCTGCTCCAGCAATGCCCGTCCGCGTGCACAATCCTCGAACAGGACTGAAGGATAGAGACGTCTTGTATTCCTTCTTGCATCCGTTTACTCTCCTTACTTTCTGAGAGCCGTTTCACGCCTTTCTCGACGTGCTTCTCCAGATAGCACAAGAGGGCTTGAAGCTGCCTGTTGTACTTCTCCTGCAAATCGATGTGTACGAGTATTCTTGACAGGGGTGGTATTCTTGACTGTACATGTCGCACCGCTTCGGCAGTTGCGGCGTTCCAGAAGGTGCGATGGCTGTCATACTCTGCGCGCCAATCCTGGAAGGACAAGAGGGATAGCAGCTTCGTACAAATGTGCTTGCTTCCAGCTCACATTGACGCGGGCGAGAATCTCTGTAAGCGGCGCATTTGCGGCAGCAACAGCGGCTTCAGCACGCAGACGCTCGATTCGCGCTTGCACCTCCTCCTCCTGCATACGATGCTCAAGACACAGCCTACATCCATGAGCCACTTATTCTTGCCCCTGCCCACCTTTGCTGCGATGAGTGCTTTGTATTGTATGTTCCCCTCGCGGATCATGGATTCCTCTGTGGCTTTGTTGCGCTTCTGCAGCCTGCAAACCACGGACGACTAGGCATTGAGACACGCAAAAGGCTCAGAGGTCACCTACTCCTTCTCGTGTGTCTTGGAATCAGCTTCAGCGCTTGTGAGACTCCGTTGATAGTCTGCCAGTGGTGGATTCAGACACACACAATGTGGTAGAAAGCACAGAAAACAAATTGCGTGTTACCAGTGATGTGCTTTGTGCGGGTATCAAGCTGCCTGATACGTGACATCCACTGAACTGCGTGCTGTCGCCATTCGCCAATCTTCTCCTGCATCAAGCAAAGCAAAGGGCCATTCCTGGAACAAGAGAAGTTGGTTTCTCTGTAATGACATTGTGGCGCTTGATGAAGACTTCCTTCTGTGCTTTGAAGCAGCCGAGAACGTCTGATTGAAGTGCCTTGTCGATCGCGACGAGCTGCAGGACCAACATTGATACAGGGGGGAAGATTGTACTCGCGTCATGTTACCTTGTCCTTGAGGAGCCGAAAAAACCCTTCCACTGCGTGAATTCGTTCCTTCCGCTTCTCCTCACGCTCAACTGGGCGGAAACCAGACCTGCAAGCGTACAAGAGACATGCCTGCCTGCCTGCCTGGCTGCTGGTTCTAGAATCTCAACCTTTTACTGCAGCAGATAAGGTTCAATTTGGTGTTCCACGAATGAGTTCAGCGCAGATGTGTGACGCGCTAACGTGAAGGATGCTGCGAACAGACAAGAAAACACGTGCCAGTGTGATGTCATGATGGCCGTCTATATGCACGCGTGGCTCACGGTGGCTCTTTTTGGCTGTCTGCATGAAGTGGCCGAGGCCCTCGTAAACCGACATGAGCTCGAGATGAACCATTTGGGCGCCACTAGGTTCGAATCCCTTAAGAACTGGTTCCAATAGGTAAGGGAGTCTGGTTTGTGATGTCCCTAGGCACAATGCTCACCTGCTGCTCGGTTGATAGGGAGTATCGCAGCTGTCACCAATTTATAAGTGTCAGGCTGTGGATAAGTGCATCAAGCTTCTCAGCCGCCGACGAAGAGTCGTGAAACAGGTCTGAGAAGACGCCCGTAATCAATGCAGAGTAGTCGATGCCCGCCTTCTGCATACGAATGACATCCGAATGGCCTATGAAATGCCAACCTTCCCTTGATTACTCACCTGAAGCCTCTCGCTGATAGAGCTGGCCTCCGGCTGATAGGAACTTGATGCTTGTTCGAGAGCATATACCTCCTACAGGCAAGAAGGCATCGAGAAGATCAAAAACCAGCGTCATCTACCAGGCAAGCCCACCGAGGGAGTCAACTGGCGCCTTGGCACAGCCTTGACCAACGAAACATCCCACTGCCCCTTAGCGATCCTGCCCTGTGAGAGGGACACGGAGAGAAATCGCTCAACACCACACTCAGCACATCTCCCTCTGACCCTGATCATCTCATCGGCATCTGCCTTGAAATCGTCAACTCTCATGGCATCCCGACGGGCGCCAATATCCCTGTAACCAAAGCATCAACGATGGTGTCGTCATGTCGCTATGTCTTCTCACTTGAGATCCTGAATGAGCGCTGTGACCATCTCGATGATATCGCCGGCTGCTGCCGCTCGAGCCGACGCCTGATGTACACACATAACAAAGGCGCAGGTCGAGCGTGTCTTTTTCCATCCGCGTGGCTGCATGAAACAACGTACCTGTGACGGGGGTCTCCTTGTCTTGTTAAGGTCCTGATCCTGATCCTGATCCTGTCGACGTCCAGAACGGCCGAGCAAAGACAGCGTCGACTCCTGCGCATGAGCCGAGAGAACGAAAGGTGATTGCGTAGGCTGGCATCATCGTGTGTGTCGCTCAGTCGCTGACCCTCTGAATGTTGTAGTCCTGCAGGGTGTGGCCGGCGTCGAGCGGCTTCCCACCATAGATCAGCAGCTGCTGGGTGGACGGTATGCCCTCTTTCTCCTCAATCTTCGCCATGACGTCCGCAACCAGGGATAGAAGCTCGACGTCGAGCGTGCGCGTCTTGCCTGCATGAATAACACAACACAGCCAAAGAAGCAGGCGTGTGTTGTGTGTGTGGTGTGTCCGTGTGTGAGTCTGTATTGCGCAATGCGCACCACTGAAGTTCTTGTAGAAGATCTGCATACTTGGCGGGGTACCCGACGGAAACCTAGTGCCGTCCTCCTCCCTCACGAAAGCAAGCCAACACCGGAAAACAAGGACAAGAAAAGGGAACAACGGGAACGAAAAGGAAGGTAAGACAAAGAAAAGGCTCAAAAAGGAGGCTGAGGGAAAGACAGATGCCCGATCGTCGAGACTGCGAGCTTGAACGTGCGTACGGTGCTCAGATCAAGGGGATAGACTCCCGAGGTTCTTCATCGACAAGTCAGTATGGTGCTTCCTCTCCCTGTCCCCCTCTGCGTTGTGAGCCTCCCCTATGCACCGCCAGAGTCTGACGTGGAGCTATGCGAGGAGCTCTGGTGGATCTGGTGCCCGCTTCGTCGGGGGCCTTCCTGTATCTAAGTGATGAACCACGCCACTGACGATGATGCTGGTCGGGTGGACGTGGCAAGAGTGCATCCCGCCGTCCCAAGGCCGTTTTACTGTCTGTTTCGCCTGGCTGTTTGTTCATCGCTCTTTGCTGTGTCTGGCTATGTTGCCGTGTGTGTGCGCCAGAGGAACGATGACTGGTCTGACTGTGTAGTGGGCTGTCGTCTGCTCTTTCCGTAAGTACTGTCCGGAGGGATCAATATTCAATGTAATTCTGCGTCTATGATCTGCCTCTGTGTGCTACGGGAGCCGGTTTGGCAGGAGTTCTGACTTAGCAGTCAGTAAAGGATGGATCTGGAAGACCAATGTGTGCCAGACACCCATTCAAAAACGTGCACAAACCACATCCCAGGCTAGCCAGCCATCCGAAGGCACACCCCGCATCCACCCCCCTCTCTCATCCACCCCCGACCACAAACACATGGATCATGGAAGTGCTCACTTGCTGCTGCTGGCCGTGGGTTTGGCTCTGCTTTCGGCCTCCCCCTTCTTGAACGCGCTAACAAACTCCTTGCCAGCATCCAGACTCACATACTCCTCACCTACACACACAACCACGCAAGCACACACGCACCACGCCAGGTGTGCCATGTCGGTGTGTCGTTTTGTGTAGTGTACGCACCCTGCATGCCCTGCTCGCTGTAGTTGATGTCGTCGGCGGCCGCCTCGCCCATCAGCTTGGTCACCAGCGCCTTGAGCTCCTGCAGGAATAGCTGGTCTGCACACAACACACGCGGCACACAGCCATCCCGGCACGGTGTCTTACCAAGCCACACATCAAGCTCCCTGTCTGTCTGCCTATCCATCCATCCATCCATCCATCTCTCGCGCACCGACCCACTCACCCGTGTAGATGAGGCCGTATTCTTCAACCTGCCAGGAGCCAGTCTTGCCTGCAGGAATTACATATACACAACACACCACGTGCAGAGCACCACATAAGTGCGTGTGTGCATACCCTTCTGCGTTTCGAATACGACCCACAGCTCGCCGAACTCGTCCACGCCCTCCTCGTCGCCACCAAACGTGTCTGCAGATCAGATCAGATGACGCTCGTACCACATCGCACCGTCTGCTTGTCAGATGTGACCGCTTACTCAGGTCGAGGCTGATGACGCGGACGGCCTTCATCTTGGCGCTCCCTGCGACGAACAAACAACCGGCACGCACCGACCGTGTGTATGTTCGTGCTGTGGTACATCCTTACAGAAGCCACTGCCATCGGTATGAAGCGTCACGACTTTCTCCAGCTTCATCCTCACACACCGAGATGGAGATGGCCGGCAATCAGAGGGAGATCTTTGTTGCGACAGGGACGTCAAGCCGGCGCGTCACGTCAGTTGAGATCTCAAAAGTGGAGGGAAGGTAAATTCACGAGCCATTGCAGTCCCCTCCAGTCCTCCGTGGCCGCACAGCGCCTGTCATCCTGTCTGTCTACCTGCTTGTCTGTCTGTCAGTCTGTGTCTGTGTGTCATGATGCGAGTCCGAGCATAGTCAGCACTTGCACAAACAGCTCGGAGGAAAACACAGACAGAGACCAAACCTCACCCGCAGCCTGCACGGTGGATGGACACACATACGCATCCATCCGTCACACAGAGGCATCTTTTGTGTCCCAGCCAGGGGGGCTGTGCGTGTGCCTGTGTGGCCTGCCTGACCCAGTAAGTGAGTGATAGTATTCTGAGTCGCTTGAGTATGATGTAGCAGCACACGGCCACGAAGAACAGAAAGGCGTACCAAATGAAGGTGCTGTCCATCTCAGTCCTGCACACACCACACACACACACACTTATCAGCATGCGCTCGCCTGTCTTGTCGGATGGCTCACTTTCGTTTCAGTTTGCTGAGCAGCGCCCCGGCCTTTTGCAGGCGCTGCCCATACGCTGCACTCAAGACAGACAGGGCAACCCACCAGCCATCATCACGCCACACGCCCTTCAGCGGCCATTGCATGCAGCTCCAAACGCATCCCTACCTGAGTAGGCCTCATCTGTGTTGCCGATGGTCGTCGAGCCATGATCTGTGACACATATAACACACACACACACAGCAGAGATCACGATACACACCAACAGCAAGTGTGTCGGTCGGTCATATGCTGGCTTGCTCACCGAGTGCCTCTGTGACCTGGTGCATTCTCTGCAGTTCCGTCTGCATCATCTGGCGGGTCTCACGCAGCCCACTCCTCAACTCCTCATCCCCACCACCGATGCGCTGACGGGGCGCCCCCGATGCTGATGCCGATGCTGATGCTGACGCCGACCCGCCGCTGCCCGCCAGCAAATTGGTCCGCCGGCTCTCCGACAGGTGCTGCTGCACCATGCCGTACCAACGACGAAGCTGATCCTCATACCTGTGCATGGCAACACACGAGCACATTGGATCAGGGCATTATCCCATCGAACGCGCCTACCTGGCGATTTGCTTCGCTGCCCTCTCGTGCTCTTCTGGCGTGGCGCCGTGCTCCCTCGCCAAGGCCCTCTGTAGCTGCGCAATCTGCTCCCGCAGGCTCCTGCAAACAAACAGATAACACACACAAGGGTCAGCCTCTGTCTTCACCTGATGGATTGCATATCCGTTGCGTACTGTCGTGTGGCCTCTGCGACATCTGGAGCGACGGCTGCGGGCGAGGGGAGGGCAGAGAGCGCCTCAAACAGGCTCTGGTCCAACGATGCGACACTCTGCATCGATGTCAACATGTCGGGATGGCAGATCCGGGGAGCCGAACAGATGGACGGCTGGAACAGATGGCATGCAAGCGATTAGGGTTCGGGTTTCAGGGTTTTGGGCAAGGTTCGAGGTTTTCGCGAGAAAAGCAAAAGAATCCCCAGCGGTCTATCAGCACGTGCGGCATGTTTGCATCTGCATCATTAGCCGCTGAGGGCCTCACAGGTGCGCAGACATCAAATGAGATCTCATGATGCCTGCACGCCCTGACGCAGCTGACCTCCACGGTGCTTTGCTGTATGTGGTGTGGTGTGGTATAGAGGAGGTCACTCATCCGCAGCGTCGTGCAATGGACCACGACGATCGCGATGACCGCGGGGCTCGTCCACAGGTCAGCCAATCAGTCATCATCATGACACTCACGGTTCTCCAATTCCCTGCTGCATCTGTGTGGTCTTGGTGGTGTAACAGTCGGCGGCAAGTGTGGATGATGCCCTTGATCAGCTTGGGAAGGAGAAGCACCGCATCGACACACTCTACCGCACCATACAATCACAAGTGAGTTGAGTAAGTGAGGGTAGACCTGGCCGTGATAGGCGCGTGATGGCATGTGTGTATCGTGATGTTTGTGTGTTGTCAGTTGGCGGCTCAGCGTGCCTCCCTGACGGCCGGCGATGTGGGTGAGGTGCTGGGCCACATCACGCGAGGCGGTGATTGTCTGAAGGAGGCCGCCGAATATCTGAGCGGGCTGACTGACACTGACGCACAAGGCGGAGTGACAGAGGTGCGTGAAGACGAGTGGTCTCCATCGACCACACACACGTCAATGTGTGTGTGTGTGTTTGTGTTGTGTGTGCATCGATCAGGGTGACGGCAGTGGGCGTACAGCAGTGGCGGCCGTCGAGGGGCCTCACAATGCAGCTCATGGAGCGTCCATGGCGGTATGTGTGTGCATCGAGGCCAGCGGCTTGGAATGAGTTCCGTTTATCAGATGCTCGCTCTGTGTGATTGATCAGGTAGCAGTTGTGTCGGATAGCAAGCGGGCCCGATTGGATGGTCACTCAGACCATCCTGCTGCTGCTGCTGCAAGTGGAGGTGGGGGGCGACACAGAGCATGGACCACACAGATCAGACGCACTCAATGCCCTCTCTGTTTGATTCTTGTCAGGTGGTGTGTCGGGCGTCTCTGAGCAAGATGAGCAAAGCCAAAACGAGCAGCACCACAACCACCAGCAGCAGGTCAGGCAGACAGCACACGGGGCCGGCCCAGGCAGCAACCAATGAACGGCAGGCTCGTTGACGGCCTTATGTTTTCTGTCCATCTTTGTGTGTACGTGTGTGTCAGGTTGTGTGTGGGGCGTGTTTGTGTAGCCTTGAGGGCCCGTTGGTGTGCGAGATGGCCTATTTCCTCACCACCATCGAGGCCACCGTCCTCTGTCTTCTCAACAAGGACATTAACAGCAAGGCCGACTACACCGCCAACACGTCCACCACCACCGAGGGCAAGACCGACGACGCTCCATTCGGCATATACCGCAACCTGACAATCGCAAAGGAGGAGTGCGAGACGTGGGCGAACCTCAACCAGCCCACACGCGCACGCCTGCAGAACAAACTGGTGAGGCACAGTGTGCGGTCATTGTGTCGCCTCACATTCACCCGTTTGTCTGTCGATGTGGTGTCTGTGTGGTCGTTCAGGGCAACGTCACGACGGCTCGCATCGCGTGGCCCATCGACGACCTCCCCCGGCGCGGGCGGTCCTCAGGCAGGAGCGGCGGGCGGCTGGTGGTCGGGTGTCTGGCGGCATCAAAGTCGTCCCTGGAGGAATTGCACATCACAGGATCGGGGCGTTACGGCAGCAACCCCGATCGGCTGCCTGATGTCGTGTTCCCCAAGCTGAGGCTGCTCGACACATCATTCGGATGCCGCAGCTACTTCAGGTGAGAGGGAGTAGGGCTGATGATCGATTTGAAATGTCCGTCGGGACGTTCTGTCCATCTCGCCATCTGTCTGCTTTGCCTATCCGTCACTCAGGGAGTCAAACTGGACCTTTCCGAGCCTCGTCGACTTGCGGGTCAGCACCACGACGGACAGATCCCTTCCCGACGTCACCCACATCGTGCGGTCGGCCCCCCAGCTGCGCACACTCACAACGGCCAACAACAGCTGGGACAAGATCGACGGCAGGGGCAGCGACTGGTGTGAGTTCGCCAGTGCCCTTGGGCAGTGCCCTCACTTGACGACCATCCGCGGGCTGGCCATCGGGGGCATCCGCGGGCTGCCTGATTTGCAGAAGGCCCTCGACACCCACTGGGGCAAAGAGGAGAACCGAGGTAGGCAGGTGGGCTCAGATGGGCAGACAGCCAGCCAGGCAATGCACGTCCTGCGCTCCTCTTCCTGCTTTCATGTTGCATCCCTGCCTCCCATCGTGTAGGTGTCAAGAAGACCATCGAGTTCCAGTACGACAACCCCACCATCAGCTGCACCTTCGGCGACGAAACCCGTCCCCTGCACACCTTCCTCACATGGGCGCGACGAGTCGGCGTGTCCATCGAGTGGCGGCACGGCGGGAACGGCACGGTGGGCTGCATCAGGATGGATTGCAGCAAGGGTGCGTCGAGCTCTATGGCCCCTCCTGCCGTGCGTGGCCCCGTGGCTGACGTGGTCAAGCAGATGGCGTCCCAGACAGAGATAGTAAGTCGGATGACAGTGAGTAGCATCCTTCCACCCATCTATCTATCGTGTTGTACACGCCATGGCTGCCTGTGTGCCTCAGGTGGACTTGTATTTGGGCGGGAGCCGACTCCACGACTCATGGAAGGACCTCCTCCATTTTCCTGCCGCAGACATGCTCTCAATCGTGGACACCGCAGACCCGCAGGAGGTCATCGAGAGCATCCCCAAATGGCTGCTGGAGGTCGATGAGGCCGGCAACAACGTGCGCTTACCCAAGATAGACTACCTCGATACCTCGATGGGGTTTGTGGGCGATGAGGATGCCCCGCCTGCAGAGGCCTGGCACTTGCCGGCCGCCCCCAACGCACTCACTACACTGCTAGGCAGCCTGCGGATGGTCACCTCAGTCTGCTTCAACACGTCTAGTTTGTCCGCCGTGTGTGAGAGCCTGCCACACATAAGCGTCGACAAACTAGATACGTTGGAGGTCCGTGTGGGCTCGCATCTCACTGCACTGCCTGCCCCCACCCCCCAGTACACACTGCCGTCTGTGCACCGCCTTGTCGTCTCGACAAATAATGACGTGGTGTGGCCTGCAATGAGCAAGGCAGCTGCGTTGTCGTGTATGCGTTTTGCCTCACTCACTCATGCACACAAGGCAGAGTTTGAGTTTCACATAGCGTCAGACCAGTTTGACTTCTACCGGGACTATGGGGAGCTAGAGGGAGGGGCGGGAGATGAAGATGAGGATGACGATGAGGATGCTGCATGGGAGCGAGAGATGGAGCTGCGCCGGGCCATGGAGCAGCATGGCAAGGGTTGCATGCGCGCGTTGGCCACTGAGTGCTATGAGGTAGTCAAGGGAGGATACCAGCTGACTGACGTAGACGTCGGCTGTGACGTGGAATACAGCGAGACCACGATGCAGCTGGTGTCCTACGGCCGTTTGCAGCTGAAGGTGTTAGCCAAGGGTGCCATAGCAGGGGGCGAGGACAGAGGGGTCATGACCGACTAACTCGGTCCACGCTCACTGACTGACTGGCTGACTGGCTGACTGACTCACTCACTCGCTGCTGACTTCTACTACAGACTCACTCATGTGGATCTGTCTGGCTGTGGATGAAATGTCCGTGTGCATGCAATGTGCACTCGAGTGGAATCTGTGCATGCGAGGTGTGTGGTTGCTCGGCTGCAATGATGAATGGACCTCTCTCGCAGTGGCGTGCGCGCACGTACTCCGTCGTTTGTTGATGGACTGTTCATAGGCCTGTGTGACGATGGCCATTGGCGGCTCCCACGCACTCACACACGTCTGATTTATTGTCCTACCAGGAGAACCATCCAATGACCTCACTCCCTTACAACGTGACGCCTACGAGAAACCACACGGCTGGCCGGGCAGGTCGAGATGGATGCGGCTTCCACCTGCGCACACCGATTGTGCACATGATGAACAAGAGCTGCCCAGCAAAGTGTTGCCAGGAAGTAAATTTCCATTTCGGCGAGAATTTGAGACGGAGACGGCAAACACGCGGAGATGGGATTCTCTCTGTTCTTCGCTTCGGCCGAGTCAGCACACAGCAGAACGTTCTCTTTTCTCTCTGCTGGTTGCTTCATTTGCGCTTCGCAAAGTCTTTCTCACATCGATTCCGTCTCATCGTGCTGTGCCTGCCGGTGCGAAGATGGCAGTGGCCGCGGTGACGAGCATCGACTGGCTGTTCGACGAGGTGGCGGAGGAGAGGGCGAGGGAGTGCCTGGAGGAGGAGGGACTGTTCGCGTGCTGGGGCCGCGGGCACCCGACCTGCGACACCTGCATGGCCAAGCAGAGGGTGAGCTTAATATAAGATGCCAGAATAGGCAGGCCCTTGAAATGCTCTCTGCCTCCTCTCATTCGTCGGCCCTGTGGTTGCTACTGTGTGGTGTGCAACAGGCCGCGTGGCACCGCCGGCAGATGCTGGAGCAGTTGGAGGTTGAGGTCTCGTACGCCAAGCCAGCCAAGGAGCACAAGTTCAACAACGCCCTGCCTGCCATGCCGGTCGGCAACCTCCACTACCCCCCAAGTGCCCCCACCACGAGCACACACAAGACGACCACCCACCACACGGCCGGCAGCAACCGCACGTCAGACGAGACGGGCAGCGAGGGCTCGGCCACGTGGGTGTCCATCAACCTCAACGAGAACGATGGCACGAGTGCCACTGACCAGACAAGCAGCGCATGCCCGCTGCTGCAGGACGCCTGGCTGGCCGTCAAGGGCGCGTGGGAAGGGGTGACCAAGATGGTGGCCGGCTGCTGCTGCACCAACCTCACCAACGTGGCATAGACAGTCCGGCGTGGGGGTGGGTAGTGGGCCGTAGACCAGTAGACAGACAGAGTGATAAGGAGGGATGGATGGAGTAGCGCCGCGGTGGACAAAGTGATAAGGATGGAGGGAAGGGGGGTGGACAGACAGAGTGATAAGGATGGAGGGGGTGGATGGGCTCTTCTTCGTTTCTTTCTCTCTCTCTGTCTCTCTGTCTCTCTGTCTCTCTGTCTCTCTGTTTCTGTATGTGTGTGTGGTCCTGCCGACCGACAAGGGCCTTGGCCATTTCTCGCTCCACTGTCGTCTCTTTGGGCTGTTTGGGTTGGCGTCTCGTCTTTGTACCTCTCTGTCTCGTCTCTCTCTCTACGTGTGTGGTGGTGGTTGTCTGGTGGAGGGGGGGAGTTTTGAGTGGGTCCTGTCTGCTGCTGCCTCTCCTCTACACCTCTCTCTGTCTCCCCTGGTCTGTGTGTCTGTTTTTTCCCAGTGTCTGCCCTGTGTGTGTGCACTGTGAGTCCTAAGGGGCCTGTGGTGGTGGGGGGGGAGAGTTCACTGGACGGCAGCCATTCTTCGCCGACACTCCATACCTGGTAAGTGAAACACAGCGAATGGATCTTGGGTGGATGCATGGGTACATCTGTCTGTCTGTCTGTCTGTGTGCGATGTGTTTGTGAATGAATGCATTCAGGTTGTGTGAGCCGTCACGTCTACGACCACCTGGCAGACACCCCAATGTCACGGACTGACTGACTGACACACCACTACATGTAACCCCGGGCGCACCACAGACAGGTGAGTGAGTGGGTACAGTAGGTGGGGGAGACAGACAAGGAAGGCACCGACCAACACACACTGTCCGAGAGGGCAAATGGATGGATGGACGGCCGCTTCCCTTGGTGGTGTGTGGTCCCATTAGGTGGACGTCCGCATAATACATACTGAGCTCTACAGCCGTGACCCAGACAGGTCAACCGAACGGCTTCATCTAGCTGTCCTGGTGGGCAGTAAACACATACATAGCACACCAGGGAGGGAGGCCTTCATGTCTGCATCTCTCAAGATTGTGTCTCTGCTCACTTACAGGCGTGACGCCAATTGTCCACCCACTGCCCTGACCAACCGAACGGCTTCATCTAGCTGTCCTGGTGGGCAGTAAACACATACATAGCACACCAGGGAGGGAGGCCTTCATGTCTGCATCTCTCAAGATTGTGTCTCTGCTCACTTACAGGCGTGACGCCAATTGTCCACCCACTGCCCTGACCAACCGAACGGCTTCATCTAGCTGTCCTGGTGGGCAGTAAACACACAGCACACAGTACAGAGGCCTTCATGTCTGTCTGTCTGTCTGTGTGTCTCGCTCTTTTCTGTCCTTGCTTGCTCACAGGCATGACACCCATTCGCCATTTCTCGCTCCACTGTCGTCTCTTCTGGTTACTTGGGTCACCTGGTCGTCTCTCTGTCTTTCTATCTCTCTCTCTCCCTCTCTCTCTCTCTCTCTCTCTCTACGTGTGTGTATGAGGGAGCTGTTGGGCTGACTGACTGACTGGCGGACCGGTACTTGTTTTTGAATGTGAATGTGTACACTACCCATGGCAGCTGAGCTGTATGTAATGATATTACACCCACACCGAACTAATGTCATGCCGCCCCATGAGCACTGGAGCACAGCCATCCCATCAACACGTAGATTGAATCCCACACGTGTGCACACGGGCCACTCAGTCAGTTAGTCGTCCATATACAACTCTATCTGGCCGCCTCCGCTGCCCATCTCCCTCCCGTCTCACCCTCCACTAACTACATGCTGCCCCTCTCTGGTGCCTCAGGTCCATGGGCAAGAGGCCTCTGACCGCCGGCCTCCGCGAGGCGGCACCACCGTGGGCTGGCACCAACACTACTCGACGCCCAACCACCCCCACCAACAGCTACATGCTCTCCACTCGCAGCCCCGCCTGATCAACCAAACCAACCAAAACGAGACAAACACATGGGACGCGTGGTTGTGTTTGCTCGTCGCGGATGCAAGCATAGCCTACCGGGCTGCCTGCCGCCGTTCTCGGCATCGCATCGCCAAGCCTCTCTGCGATTTTGTCATTGAGCCCGTTCTGACATGTGAGGTCCATGACGGATGGCGAGTTGACGGCGAGGGACGGCGGCGGGGGCCGGAGGGAGGGAGGAGGGACTGGGATGGGTGGCTGTTGGCGTGGGGGAGTGCGGGGGCCGATGGGAAGCGCTGTGCCGTCTGCCCTGTAACCGCTGCTGGCTCACGAGATCCCTGACACATACACACACAAACACACAAACACACAAACACACACACACAGCCAGCTGATCTACTTGTGCAACCATCGTGCTGTGTATGTCAGTTGCTCACAGTTTTGTTTTTCAGCGACAGCGAGATTTGTGCCGTTCTTTCTCGATGTCCTTCTTGAGCGACGCCTCGCGCGGCGCCTCTACCACACGCTTCTCACACTGACCATAACCACACACACACACACACAGACACACATGGACAGACAGACAGACAGACACTCGGAAGGCGGATCTTGTGCCTCTCCACCCACTTACCGAGAAAGCCATGTCATGAAACTCCAGAACGACAAGAGGCCTCCTGCGAACATGACGAGAGGCGCGTTGAAGGCGCCCAGCAGATTGCCGCCCCACAGCCTCTGAACCACAGCATAGCCGTGGCCTGGTGTGTGGGCGAAGCAGACGGCCGGCCGCCGAAAGACGGGATGATGCAAGTGTGTGTGGTGGCGGACGATGGTCCTGGCGGACGGCAGGCTGCCGCCCAGGCAAACGGACGAGCGCCGCATATGCTTGCGCATATGATCCCCAGGGAGTCTCAGCGAAGAGATCTCAAAGCGACAATAAGCCGATGTCAGCTCATCGCATCAAAGCGTCATCATAGCCAAGCTGATCTTCGCTGAAAAACAGGGGAGGGGAGGTTTCGACCAGGAGCGGGTCTTTGTGCGACCGTTAGCCGAGCTTGAGTTTTCGTCGTGCCCTTAACCACCACGCACAATGCGTTAACACAATGACCAACCAACCATCCATGCAGTATTAGTTTTCTGCCAACCCGTCAACAAATCGCACCTCTCTGCCTGCCCGCCCGCCTCCCTGCCTGCCTGCCTCCCTGTCTGTCTGTCTGTCGACCAACGTCTGATCTGATCACACCCCAGGCTCTGCCTCGTCCCCGCTCTTGCAGACGAGCTGAGGGTCACATCCGGTGTCGCTCGCCGGCTGCGAATGTCCTGCAGCCCTATCAGCGGTAGGAACGAGAAGATAGACACAGGGGCATCGTTGATCTCTGTCTGGGTGCATGTGTTCTGCCTGTGCAGGCGTTTTTCATCCACGTCCGTCGCCGGCATGACTAGCACTAGGTTCCTGTCTGAAAGGGAACTGCGGACGTTCCGCACGATCAAATGCTCGCGGCTGGCAAAGGGGCGGTGCGACCTTGTGGCGGACGAGTGCTGCAAGTACTCGCACTCCACCGAGTGGACGAGACGGCGTGTGTTCTGCCACAGCAGCACCGACGCCATCAAGTACTGCCATATGCAGTGCCCAGACGTCCAGATCGACTTCAGGAACGAGGCCATTCTGTCCAACACGTCCATTCTGTCCAATACCTGCAAGCTGCGCGCCAAATGCCCGTACTCGCACTCGGCCGGTGAGCAAGGGGACACACATGGCGGGGGCGGGAGGAAGGTGGGATGACATATGTGGATGTGCGAGTGTGTGTGTCTGCGTGCTGCAGAGGAGATATTCTATCACCCGCTGTTTTACAAGACTCGTCCGTGCCCGTCGTACCAACTCACACGCCGCTGCACAAGGCCCTACTGCCCATTCGTCCACAGCCGCGCAGAGGACCGCACACGTGAGTTGTCGACAAACCGACAGACACGTGACAAACCACATCACCACTCACTCTTGCGGGCATCTCTGTGCGTGTGTGTGTGTGTGTGTGCAGACCACCCCGATCGCCAGTACAAGATGTACCTCCAGTACCACCGCAAAGACGGCATCGAGCTGCCCCCCATCGAGGGCGTCATTCGGGTCGAGGGGGGCCCCCCCACCAAACTTAAAGGCAGCAGCAACCGACAGGTGCCACCCATCCCGCAGCCCGCGACCACCACCAGACCCAGTGTGCCCCCGCCACCCGTCGCCCTCCCCATCGCACGCCAGCCCGACGACCAACTCACCAAGATACTCGACGCCCTTCGCAGCCTGCCCGACAGCGATCGTGCCGACGTGCTGCAGAACCTGGCCAATGTGGGCCACTTACTGGAGGAGGCCACACCGGCGTCAACCCACGCGTCTCCTGCCACCCCCATGTCACTCGCAGACACTGAGCTGGTTCCTCTGGAGTCGACGGCGCGCCCCCCCTTGGTGGTCAGCAACATTGAGGAGGCGACGGCGGCGCTGCACGCCCTGTTGCGATACTTCGAACACGCCGACGACCAGAGCACCAAGGCCCTGCAACCCACCATCCTCGAGACGGCCCTGCCCATCGTGTTGGACTCGCTGAGCAAGCACCCGATACCCACGGCCGGTCGCACCAGCAGCCAGGGCGGCTTCACACCCCCGCCCCCACCGCCTCCCGCCGCACTGCCATCGCCGACACACATCGTGACCGTGCCCAGCCCGCATGACGAGGTGAACAGCGGTCGTGTGCAGATGGGCATGGGAAGGGGAGTGGGCTTCACCATCAGCAGCGACCTCTCTGCCGTCGTGCAGGGTGAGCAGGGGGGATGCGTGGGGTTGAAGAGGCCGGTGTAATGTGTGTTTTGTTGGTGTGATGGATGGCTCAGCTTCGTCCAGCTGGTCTCGTTCTGGCTTGTCGGCGCCGTCATTCTGCTTCCCACAGGCAGCGCCCAGGGGTCTGCTCGACGAGGAGGGGGGGCTCTGAGAGAAAGGCCAAGGACGCAATAAACGACATGGGAGACGGAGGAGGGTGGGGATCCTGACTGACCTGCATGCTTGCACACATACAACACACTGACTGACTCAGTGCAGACCTCTACGGCGCGTGAGTCTTTTGATTAGGGGGGAGAGAGCGGAAAGGGTCGGTGGGTGGACCGACTTACTCCTTGGTGACTTATTCCTTGGCTGCCGTGTCGTACCTTTGTTGTATGTGCCGTGTTGTGCTGTGTCGCCTCTTCGCACCGCCATACCTCTATTTAAGCGACGTATATGGGAGGGCGGGGGCGGCGACTTTGATGCATGTGTATGCGGGATTTGTGCTTTCTTTTTCGCCGCCGCACCCGCGCAGCCAGCCGGTTGATTCATCAACGGCATTCGGTGTGCTAGTCAATGTAATGCATGTGTGGGTGCGTATGTCTGACTCGCGTCTGGCCATGTGTGTCCGTGTGTCTATGTATGTATGTGTGTGTGTGTCCCTGCGAGCGCTTCAGGGCGAAACGGGGGAAGACAGAGGGGGAAGACAGCCTTCTTTGGGCCTTTCCCTTCTGCCCTCCTTGTCTGTCCTTCGCGTGGGCTGAAGAGCTAAAGAGGAGGGTTGGTTTCCGACACAAGAAGCGACACGCAAAGAAAGAGACTCGCCAAACTACCGAATCGCGTCCGCATCTGTCGTTTTGTGAGTGCCGAATTCTCTCTGTAGTCCATCCATGCCGTGTGTGTGCAAGAGAGTTACCGACTCAGTGACCTACTAGTTGCCTTCCAGCCGTCTTACTGCCTTACTGTCTTGCCATGCCTTACCTGGTCTTGCGCTCTCTAGGGTGTCTGGGTGCGTGTCGCCTCCCTGCCTGCCTGCCTGCCTGCCTTGTGACTGATTGATTGCTGCTGCCCATTGTGTGAGGCTGCCTGAGAGATGTGTCGTACGACAGTGACATAGCAGATACACGTGTGTGTGTCGGCATGAAGCTTCTTGGTCTCTTCTCGTCTCCCTCCCCACACTCGTCTCCCTCCCAGTAATGTTCGCCGTACGCTCCCTCCCTCCCTCCCTCTCTCTCTCTCCCTTCGCCATCCACACCTGCGCATGCTCTTCCGTCTCCCCCTGGTGTCCTCTCTCTCTTGTCTGTGTGTGTGTCCATGAAGTGACAGAGACCTGAGAGAGCCCACCCGTCCCCCCGTGTGGGTGCATGCATAGGATTTAGCCACCCCGCGCCAACCCCCCGCCACTCACTGACTACTCGCTACTCACAACCACGGAAGCAATTCGTCCTCTCTCTCCCCCTTTGTGGCGATCAATTGTTTGTTTGTCGGCCGCAGCAGGAGGACTGATGTCTTTCTGCAGAGAGACACGTAAGAGTGATACGGACTTAGTAGAGGTGGGTATGAAAGCCGTGAGATATTCGGCATGCACCGTATTACAATGAGAATTGCTTCCTGTACTACTCTTAATGACATTAGCCATTAGCCCTGAATCCTTCGTCTGCCTGCCTGCCTGCCTGGCTGCCTGTCTTACCAGATTTTCAAGCCGTATGCGACCAACTCACCAGATTTTTGCAACACCACAGCGAGCGGGCAATTTGCCAGTCCCTATGCGCGCGCGCGTGTGTAAGGTTGGCCGTGTGACGTCGTGCCCAGCCTCGTTTACTGTTGCATGAGAAAGTGCCCTTCGCAGTCTGCATGTCTCTCTCTCTGCGTGTGTGTGTGTGTGTGTGTGTGTGTGTCCTCCTCCCTGTTGGATGATATGCGTCGAGTGAAGGGGAAGGGTGACGAAACGAGCCCAAGACAAGACAAGACAAGACCAGCAGAGGTGATGCTTTACGTGGATGCCCCTGCCCCCTACAGAGAAGGTGTCTCTCGACTTTGTATGACGGCAGTGTTTTGTCGGACAAACAGGCAGGTAGAGACAGTTAGGAGATCTCGGTCGGCCAACGGACATGCCGCAGCAGAGACACTGGAGACATAAACATCCTGGACAGGTGCAGAAAAACTAATCGACGTGAACATTCAGCCGCGTTCGTCCAACGTATGCATTCACACACCCCTACACACATCTGATTCACAAGTAGACGTCTTCCTCGTATGTTCACATTCGAGTAGACATAGCATTGTACGGGCGCGAGGGCCTTAACTCAAAATCGGCTTCGATTCATCTTCTGCCCCGAGGATCTACTGGATGGCAGATATCTGCCGCACAAAGCGCGTGTAGGCGAATGAAGGCAGGATAGTCCTCCAGGGCCACGTTGAAATGGCTGATGAAGGCAGTGATGATGACCACACCAACGGAGAGCGGCTGATAGAGAACACACCGATCTCCATCGGCAGGAGAGTCCGCAGCCACCCCCTGTTCCGATCCCACAACTGGCGCAGCATGCTTCTGACACCGTGGAGAAGGCGAAAGGACCTCGCGAGAAGCGAGGCTCCCTCACCAGACATCTCACGGCAGCCCTCGTCAGGATCCGGCTCGTGGACAGCTCTGTCCGAATCGGTGCCGCACGCGGCGAGCCAGAGCACCGTGGCGAGTAGGATGGCGGCTGGCCGTGGGCGTGGTCGGAGGGAAGGGGACAGACACATGCATGTGTGTGCGCGGCCGGGAAACGTGCTGGAGGCTGCCAAGCGGGGGGAGGCCGAGTGGGTGGCGGCGCTGATTGAGGCGGGAGCCGACACCAACCAGCTGGACAATGTATGTAGACAAACACGTAACCACGATACACACACACACACACACGCGTGCATACACGCACACACAGAGAGAGAGAGAGACCGTGGACGGCTGTGCCTGCTTGTCTTGTATGTGTATGCGTGTGTGTGTGTGTGATCGATCCCGTAGAGCGGGTGGACGCCGCTGATGTGGGCGTGCGTCCGGCGGCACATCAATGTGGGGTTCCTACTCATCCGAGCGGGGGCCCACCTCGCCCACAGGGCAGACGTACGTACGCCACGCCCACACACATACACATACACAGACAGACAGATAGACAGATAGATGTCCACGCACAGCCAGACAAGTTCGCTGCATGCCTGCCTGCCTGCCTGCCTGCCTGGCTGCCTGGCTGGCTGGCTGGCCTTGTTGTGGCTTTGTTGTGGGTGGCTTTGTAGTCTGGTTGGACGGCCCTCCACACAGCTGCTTACGTACGTGGCAAAGATACACACACACACACACACACACACAGTCGACACACGCCACACAACGTTCACGCTCAGAGCACAGGCGGTGTGCGTCAGTCACTGTATACGTGGCTGCGCCGTGCAGAGTGGATCGCTGGAGCTGATACGGCTGCTCGTCACGTCAGGGGCGTCTGTGCATGCTACCGAGAAGGTCCGAAGGAATGCAATCGATGGATGGATGGATGGCCTTGCACTCACACCACTGGTCTGGTCTGGTCTGGTGTATGATATGATTTCCTCTGTCAGCGTCGGCGCACCCCACTGCACTTGGCGGCTTCCTCTGGCCAGGGCAATGCCGTCCGCCAGCTCGTCAGATTCGGCGCGAGACCACACGCCCGAGATGATGTAGGCACACACACACGTGAGATGCGCAGCTGGATGGATGGATGGATTGACGCGGCTTTGTTGCATTCGACGTGTCTGTGTGTCAATCAGAACGGGTGGACGCCTCTGCACCTGGCTGTGCACCGGCAGCGAGTCGACGCGGCCACAGCGCTGCTGGACAGCGGAGCCGATGCAAATGCCGTCACAAATGTGGGCGAGCGCATCCGTCACGCATTCGCATGGAACGCGCGACATGCTGCTCCTGTCTCTCTCTGTGTGTGTGTGTGCAGCACCAGCTCACGGCTCTCCACACTGCCGCCAGCCTTGAGAATGACGAGCTCGTCGACCTGCTGCTGGCACATGGGGCCAGGATTGACGTCAACAACGCGGTGGGCGAGTGAGATGCCTGCATGTCGGTCGGCACATCTGTGTGTGTGTCGGTGGATGTCTGCCTGCCTGTCTGTGTCAACTCACAGGATCTGAAGACGCCCGTCGACACCGCCGGCAATCTCACGCTGAGACGGCGGCTGATCGTGAGCACACAGTCAACAAACAGCATTCATTTCCACACATCAATCCACACACAGCGATCTGTGCAATCAATGGCCCCCTATGTGTGTGTGTGTGTCAGACGGCAGGTCGGTACCAGCGCCGCGAGGTGCTGTTTTGGGTCATGGCCAAGGGCGACCCATCACACCCCTTGGTCGCCTTCATGGCCGACAACGCACAGTGGCTTAGGCAGCGAGTGGCCGCCTTCTTGTAACATATGAACGTGTGTGAGTGTGTGGGATGAGGAGGTCTTTGTCGGTGAATGAATGAGCCGCTGAATGAATGAATGGATGGAGAGCTCCATCGGGCAATGCAATCAAGGGTCCTTGTTTTGTTTTCCGATGACTGACACATGTCAGTCAGTCATTGCCTGGTTGGTTGTGGTTTGGTTGTGTTGTGCCTGCCTGCCTGCCTGCCTGGCCGACTGTTTGTTTGGCAACACGCCATGGAGGAATGAACGGACGAATGTATGTCGTATGCGTTTGTTTGCCTATGTATGGCCGCGTGACAAACAGTTGACGCTTGTGGATGATGTTCGACCGTGCCTGCGAGCTCAAATGCTGTGTCGATCACAGATCTGATTCATTCATTCAATGTCGTCCATCTACCCACCATCGTTCCCTCGACGCCTCGTCGGCAACTTCGGCCGCGTTGTCGGACTTGCAGGCATCACTCTCGGCGCGACCTGCACAGGTGTGGGGATTGTGGCCTACACGGACCAGGGAGCGAGGCGCAACGCCTACTTCTGGGCCAGGGCCTTCCCTGTCTACATACACTACAGGTCAGTAAGAGCGTGTGTGTGTGTGTGGATCTGTGCTGGTGGGTGTGAATGTTGACTGGGTGTCACACAGGTGGACGGAGTGGCTGGTCAAGGACCTGTCAGAGGAGGAGCAAAATCGACGATACGATGCGCTGCACGAGGTACCAGGGGTGGCTGGACACACACACAGTGTCACACCTTCCCCCGCACCACAGCAGATCTCACTCTCTGTGCGTGTACTGCAGCTGCACGCGCCGAGGATGGAGGGTATAGCTCGTCACCTGAAGGGCTTCTACATCAAGCTCGGCCAGCTCGGCAGCACACGAACAGACTTCCTCGCAGAGTACCTGCCTACTCGTACCCTGCCCTCGCACCCACCCACTCTCTCTCTCTCTCTGTGTGTGTGTGCAGGCCTTATCTGAAGGTATGTGAGCGGCTGCAGGACGACTGCCCCACCGAGCCGTTCGAGCGGATCGTGGACATCATCGAGAACAGCCTCGGTCGGACACACACTGATTGGTTGGCTCATCTCCATATGCAATGCCCTCTCCCTCCCTGTTTCTGTGTGTGTGTGCAGGCAAGAAGGTTGGTGAGGTGTTCCGTCACGTTGACCACAAGCCGCTGGGGTCAGCGTCGATCGGCCAGGTCCATAAGTAAGGACACACTTGCACACCAGACAGACATCCGCTGAAGGCAGACAGACATGTGCATATCGATGGTGTGTGTGTGTCTGTGTGGTGCGCAGGGCGGAATTGCTTGACGGTACCCCGGTTGTGGTCAAGGTGCAGTTCCCCGATGCTGAGAGGATGTTCCGCATCGACATCAAGACTGCCCAGGACTTCTGCAGGCTCGTGCAGCCCGACCACCTGCCCTTCCTCAAAGGTGCATGGCCTGGCTGCCGAGCGTACGACACACCAGCCACACTACACATCACATACACACCTGTCTGTCTGTCTGTCTGTTTAGAGGTGGAGAAGCAGTTCATGACAGAGTTCGACTACCGTCGAGAGGCCGAGAACCTGGATGAGATCGCCGACAACGTGCTGCCTGTGTGGGGGAGGAAGGTGGTTATTCCCAGGCCGTTCAAACACCTCTGCACACGGTACGGTGCGGGGCGGTGGGCAGGACACAACACTTGCGTGCGCACATACCCCCAGCTGTGTGTCTATGATACTTTTACGTGTCCAGGGAGGTGCTGGTGATGGAATACGTCCCTGGCACGAAACTTGCCGACGCCATCAAAAGGTCCACACGCGATGCGACACACACTCAACCATCCTAGACACATACAGGTGTATGTGCGTGTGTGTGTGTGTGTGTGCGTGTGTGTGTGCGTGTGTGCGTGTGTGTGTGCGTGTGTGCGTGTGTGCGTGTGTGTGCGTGTGTGTGTGTGTGCGTGTGTGTGTGTGCGTGTGCGTGTGTGTGCGTGTGCGTGTGTGTGTGTGTGTGCGTGTGTGTGTGTGTGTGCGTGTGTGTGTGTCAGGCAGTACACACACATAGCTGCTTCGCGCAACATGACGCTGCAAGAACTGATCGAGGAGCAGGACCGTATCGACAGGCAAGCAGGGCAGGCGCCACACACGTGTGGACCCACATGGATACGTCTGTCTGTACCATGCTCTCTCTCAGGGAGCGTGAGTCGAAGGGCCTGGAGAGAGAGGTCGGCCCAAGTGCCCTTCAATACGCCCTCTGGCAAACACAGGTTGGTACACCCACCCCCACTTTATGCCATCGTCTCTCTCTCTGTGTCTGTATGTGTGTGTGTGTGTCAGGTTGTGTTGCGCAACGCGGCGATGGGTGTGTGTGTGGCGGCCTACAACTGGACCGTCGGCTGGGTGCTGTCGGCCCTCACGCCCTCTTCTTGGGGGTTTGAGGGGATTGCCAAGATACCTCCCGCAATCAGCGGATTCCATGTGTGTAACTAACTGGCTGACACGACGAAGAGAGAGAGAGAGAGAGATCGTCCCGTCGTAGCACTGGTGTCGACTCGACTCGTGTGTGTGTACGTGTGTGGCTTAGAGGGAGGAGATGCCGATAAACATCCCTCAGATATTGGATGTGCTGATGAAGGTCCATGGACACGAGCTCTTCCACGACGGGGCATTCAACGGAGGTCAGCACAACATTGCAGTGCATCCATATGTATGTCTGTGCCATGCATCTGCACTGCCTATGGCGTCTTTGGACGGACGGTGTGATTGTGTTGTATGTGTCGCAGATCCGCACCCTGGCAACATTCTGCTGACGCCTGACGGCAAGCTGGGCCTCATCGACTACGGACAAGTCCGCACACGCGCATACGAATGGATGGATGGCTGCATCGCGCTCGCCCACACAGGTTGTGTTGTGTTGTGTGTGTGTGTGTGAATATGTGCAGGTCAAGCACATCACTCGCGAGCAGCGTCTGAACCTGGCCCACCTCGTTGTCGCCCTTGCCGAGAAGAACTACCCACAGGCGGCAAAGGTGAGAGAGAGAGAGAGAGAGAGGGAGAGAGAGACATGAATGACGCACTTGGGCGCCGAAGCTGATGCATGCATTACCTCATCAGGTGTTGACCGAGAAGGTAGGTCTGAAGACCAAGAACAGCGATGAGCGTACACTTGCCCTCCGGGCGCGGATGCTCTTCGACCGAGACGACAAAACCGTCACCGGCGGAATGAACGCTCAGGCATGTACCCACACACACGCACACACACACATTGAAGAGTATCTGTCCTATCTATGCCCCGTTTGTGTGGTGTGTGGCCAACCAACCGACCACCAGGCGTTCTTCGAGTCTCTCGAGAGGGAAGACCCCCTGGTACACATGCCCGACGACTACGTCATGGCGTGGCGTCTGTCGCTGCTGATGCGTGGGATGGGGTGGGCGCTGCGGTACCCCATCTCGACGGCTGAGGGATGGTACCCCATCGCCAAACGGCTCATCGAAGACCAAGACAGAGAGGGGAAGGGCAAAGGCAGAGGCAAAAGGAAGAAGGCCAAGACGAAGACGTGACGCCGGATGACAGACAGACGACAGTCAGCCGAGATGAGTGTGTGGTTGTGTGCGGGTGGGTGGGTCAGCTGAGCTCAGCAGCGAAGACGATCGAGGTCATTTTATCTGTGGGTGTGTTGGCCTGTGGTGTGTGATTTATGAGGTGCTTGCTTTGCTGATGTCGATAATGCAGAGATAGAGAGAGACGTCCGCCATGTTATGTACACACACAGTCATTTGTCCGTCCGTCCGACTCGATTAGAGGTATACTTAGGGCTCGGATGAGCCGGAGGAGGACAAGCTGACGCCTCATCTGTGCGAAATCCAACAGGAAAAACGGCAAATTTACAGACCTGTACGGTCGCGCGAAGGGTCCTCTTTGGAGATGACATGACACCTCATCTGGCATCGGAGGCGCGTGCACGTTGGCCTTTCCTGCCCAATTTTCGGCTTCTGCGAGCAGTGCTCATCATGGCGGTCGGCATCTCTGCCGTCATGGCCAGCGGTGACGAAGACACACACACGAACAGGGGACAGACGAAGGGGGTGGAGAACGATACTCTGAGCTCTGGTAGGCACCATTCTGACGCCCACCTCCTCCCGTCACCCTGTGTGTGATGGCGTGTCTGTCAGGGAAGCACACCATGGACGACCGGTCCACGTATGCGCAGCTGATGGAGGCCCTGTCAGCCGGCCAGCGTCACGTCAACGCGTCGACGTATGCGCAGCTGGTGGACGCCGTCAAGGAGCGTCGTTCGCTGCAGGCCGCCTTCGATGGCTTCGACGACCTCCCCGAGCTCGACTTAGTCTCGTTAGCTCGGGTGATATTCCAAGACCAGGGCTTCATCAACGTCGCCGCAGATGGGCCTTACAGGGTATGTGCAACGCGGGAGGCCGACATAAGACGCAGGAGGGCTCGTAGTACACGTATACGTGTGGGTGCCGGGTGTTTGGTTCATTCAGATCATCGACGTGCTGAATGACAAGCTGTTCCGGGAGGGAGTGCGGCTGAGGGATGCACGCACTGACCTGGGCGAGGACCTGCTCGGGCCCATCACTGGTGTGCTGGACCGGGCCATCGAGTCACAGAACATACTCCTCAACGGTCGGCAGACACTTCACTCACACACACAGAGGAGAGGGATGTGTGGGTTGGGCTCATGCAGGGACGAAGCAGGCCAAGACTGATGCGCTGGTAGAGTTCTTCAACCCTGCCCGTCCAGCCCCACCACCAGAAGAACCAGAGGAGCCGACGTTCCCTTTTACTTCCCGACCACCCGCAACCACACCCGAGCCAACAACCCCAACACCCGACGATGGAGCTGTTGAATTTGAATTCCCAGGTACGTACGCGGACCACACACAGAGAGAACTGGATGATCGCTGCTTCGTATCAAATAATCAGAGTGCGTCATCGTGACGAAGGTGTCTCGCTCGTGCTCCGACAAGTACTACGAGTGCTTCGCGGGCTACGACCCATTCGGCTACCGTTCGTACGACTTCGACGGCGGCCTGGGGCTGGCGGGGGAAGGGGAGCTCATGCAGCCTGGCATCGACGCAGAGCTCTGCTTGCCAAAGGAGTTTGGGCCGGACGACGACAAGGACGTTTTCTTGCCACCGGTGAGGAGGAACGCACAGACAGCTCCAGATACATATAGTGTATACTCATGAGAGGTGGGGGATGGGTATTGGTACGTATGTGTGTGTGTGTAGGATGGGGTGGGGCGGATTCTGCGATTGGTGAGGTTCGACGAGGAGACCGACAGCGACGACGACGGCATCAAGGAATGCGATGAGTCCTTCCGTTCTTCAGCAGATCCGGAGGGCAACGAGACGCTTGCGTGCCAGGAGAAGTTTCCCATCTACGGCGGCTCGTCGCTGTTCAACGACCCCCTGTTCGGCCTCACCAACACCTTCAGGACGTTCCTCTACCTCACCAAACAGGAAGTGCCCACCATGCTCGAGGAGGCAAGTCTACACACACACCCACGTAAACACATACGCACACGGATACACACGTGCCTGTGTGTGTGTGTGTGTGTGTGTCTGGATGGATGGCTGGATGGATAGCTTCTGGGTATTGCGATCGAGAAGGGCGTCCTGACGGTCTTCCTGGAGCTGATAGAGAAGGCCAAGGAGCTCGACTTTATGAAGAAGTGGGAGGGCATCGACTGGAAGAAGGATAAGAAGGGCAAGGACAAGGGCAAGGGCAAAGACAAGGGCGACAGGGGGGGAGGAGACGACGATAAGGCAGACGATGACCTGGATGACGACGACACAGACGATGGTGACGATGATAGCGACGACGACGAGGACGTGCCTGAGGGCGGCCACGTTGTCGATCCCTTCGGCTCGTACTTCATCATGGTTTTTGAATTCCCCAACTTCACCGTAAGCCTGCACACGCAGCGCACACGCACCACAGGAAATGGATACCACATCAAGGCCCAATAATGTGTGTGTGTGCAGGGGCCGGCAGGCGAGAATAAGTCTGGGCGCAACACGTCGTTTCTCTTTTCGCTGGGCGACGCGCCGCCCGGCCTGTGCACCGAGAATGCCGAGGGCATCCCCGGCAGGCCCGAGACACGATACCCCGAGTGCGCATCCACCAGCAAGGGCGCGAAATGGGCGCTTGCGAGAAGGCTGGCCACCGATCAGCCTATCGCCTGCAATGGTCCGTCTGTCTCTCTGTCCGTGAGGGGGCGTGTGCGATGTGTGGTACCATCATGATGGGTTCTTCTCTCTCTCTGTGTGTGTGTGTGCCTATATGCAGGCTTCATGGTGGACGAGAACCTCTGCATCTTCGACATTGAGATAGAGGCAAGCAGAGGACGAGGCGGCAGCAGCACACACACGGGAGAACCAATGCCGAGCATGTCTCTCTGTTTGGGTGTGTGTGTGCAGTTTACGGCTTTCCCGAAGGGAGTGGAGTGTCTGGATAACTGCGAGGATTTGGTGCTGACGGACATCGCCATCTTGACGCGCACATCCATCCAGGAGGGCGACACCGAAGGTGTCTTCGACCAAGCCGCCATAGCAACAGGGGGCGGAGATGATGAACCACAACCACCTAGCGGCGGCGGCGAGTACGCACAGGCACCACACGCACACAAATTACCCGTGTTTCTCTCTCTGTATGTCTGTCGTCAGAGCGCCGCCGACGTCAGACTCTCGGGGAGCGAGGCGGTCTCATTCGTCGCCCTCGTCTGCTGCAAGTTGGGAGCCGACCCTGGCAGTCAGCTCGTTGGGCGGCGTCAAGTGACCGAGAATTCACACACACACATGCTAGCTAGAGGGGTATGTGCGTGTGGACATGCAAACCCACACCAGTGCGTGTGTGGGTGTGGTGTGGTGTGCCATACGTAAAGTAGCTGTTAATACAGGTAATGAGGTTTGCTTACTCTGTGGGGTGGGATGGGTGGGGTGGGTGCGTAGCTGCTGCAATCAATGTGTTGTGCGTATCTGCACACGAAACGATGGCCAGATGCTCTCTCTTTATTTGTCTGCGAAATTGATTGGTCGATGCGGACAGACAGACATCGATGGATGCATGGATGGATGAGACTCAACTGAGTGAGTGAGTACTCTGTGTCTGCGGCATACATATATATATATTTATTCACCCACAATGCAATCTATGCCTCTGTCTGTCTCGTTCTTTCTCGACCACTCTCACTCTGTCTGATGCAGACAGAGTTCACTCGCTGCCCTTAAGTGTTCATCAGACACTCGGCACTGACGTGCCAATGGGATGACTCCCGTCAGCCATCCATCGAAACGTCAGACAGGAGTGTGCGATGGACACTGAAGCCGAGACGTGCCAGCTACCACGAGCGATACCATCACGTCACTCAGGGAGCCATGAATCGACCCACAAACTACCGACGCTGCTGACGAACATGTAGGTATCTCTCTCTTGTGTCTAGTGCCGACACAGCTGATCTGATCTATACACACTCTCACACACTCGCCCAGCCGCCCAACCACCTTCACCCGTGCCTGTGTGCTATCAGCCGCCATCACTTTGCTGTTTGTCGTTGGTCTCTCGTGGTGGCGGTGGTGGCGGTGGCTGCCTGACGCGCACCACCTCCAGGTCCAGCACCACCTGCCCTGCCACATCAATGCCCAACGCCTGACTCTCCCTGTCCAGCCACATACCACACACATAAAGACACACACGCGTATGACAGCACTGACTGCCAATCCAATCCAATATATTCATTGGTGCATCGGCAATTCAATCCGTGTTGACCTGTCGACCCTGACGGCGTTGAAGACGGTCGAGTAGAGGCGCCTCCTCTGGCTGTCAGAACTGGGGAACGGACCCACATTCTCACTCGTGTAGCTGATCAGACCGGCAGACCAGGGCACACACACACACACACACACACACACACACAGAGCATGCATCACATCAACCACAACCCCGCTGATGACTTGCCCCAGGTAGGAAGGTATGATGAGTCTCCTCTTGCCGCCCTGCCGCATCCCCAGCAGCCCCTCCTCGAGACCCTTGATGATCGGGCTCTCGCCCAGGGTAATCCGATAAGGCTCACGCTGATCCCGCGCACTCTCAAACACATACCCCTGACGACCTGCAAGTACACACGCCACGCCCAGACAGCCAGACAGACAATGGACAGGACGGGCTCTCATCTGACTGGACAGTGCAGGGCAGGGCAGGAATCCCCCCGACCTGCGAGCCGTCCTGTCCAGTAGAAGTTGACTCTGCTGCCCATGGTCACCTCCGGCCCGTCACCCAGGTCATAATCCGCGTACTGCAGACCCGACATCGTCTGCACCATTCCAACCACCGACACAAACCACACACAGACACGGACACATACAGAAGCTTCTTGCAAGCTGCCACAATCGCTGCAGAGCATCCAAACGTATGTCACCTTCCTGAACTCGGGTTTCTTTTCCCAGTGCGGCTGTTCTGCAAGGGCCGGTCGCCGCACAAACACAGGTGAGCTGGCAGTGACAATCGCCCACAGCAGCAAGGAATGCCACGATGATGCGGACGTGTGATGGTACTGCCTGCGGTCGGCTGCAGAGGGTGCCCGCAGGCCATCGTGACGGCCTGCATCTGGTGCATCTGGCTCATGGCAGTAGGTCTCCTGCACGCGCAAGATCAGCCGCGAAGTGGCGCTGTGATGAATTGGGGGTGGCAGAAACGCCATTGGTGGCTGAGGGTGCATCCATAGAGGGGCTCCGCACGTCATTTCGCGTCTTCTTTGTCGGGGAAGCGATCAGGCTGCAAGCTCAGCGCGCAGGAAGAGAGAAGGAGGCGCCCCTGATGCAGCTGTCGGCTGAAGCAAGTATAGCGGGTGCATATTTGGTGTCATGCTGCGTGTTCCAGCTCCTGACAACCATCATCTTCCCGTAGGCAGAGGCAAAGATGATGCATTCGCGCATTCTCCTCTCTCATTGGCGTCCTTCCTGCTTTGGCATGGCTCTCTCTTTCAGACTGCTTCCCCTGTTTGCGTCACCTTCTCATATGGGCGGCTCTCTGCTGGTGTCATGCGACAGTGTGACGAGCCTTCTCTCCGCCTTATGCGTGGGCACGCGTGGCCGCAGCGTCGCTGCGGACGACGTGCATCGGCTGTGGGGAGTCTACTTTGCAGTGCTATCCGTCCGTAGGACACGGAGATAGGCAGGGGAACCGACACACGAACACACATTGAAGTGGCTGTCGTCGATTGTTTTGTGTGGCAGGCAAGCGCTCTTCTGGTCGGTGTTCTGGGCGTCGCTGCAACACATTCGACGGCGTTGTGGTGCGTCATCGCCATCAAGGCGACGCTTGGCATCTGCTCAGGCGTGGTTGACGTCATCGGCCGGGCTGTGGTGCTGCTGTTGCCATCGCCGATAACAGTGCTCGTGTGTGTGGAATATCTGGAGGCAGCCATGTACGTCGTCGGTCCGCTGCTGGGCGGTCTCCTCGCGCACACTCATGAGGGTGACCTGGGGGCTGCATTTTCCGTCATGACGGCGGTCTTCCTCTGCCCGCTGCTGCCCCTGCTGCTGCCAAGGACAGACATCAAGAAGGGGGGCAACTCGACTGCTGCTGGTGGTGGTTGTGGTCCACAAGCCGACGGCTCGTCTATCGTCTCTTGGAGAGGCCTGCTGTCGATCATGCCATGGTGCTCTGTGTCGATGCTGACCCTGGCGATGGCCCTGCCGCCTCTGTTTGGCGTCATCGTGGGTAGCGACCATACTCACCATCACAGCACCTATCTCGACCGAGGGATCGCTCTCGCCCTCCCGCCACTGAGCAATGCCCTCTGTGCGGTGGCTCTCGCGTGCACTATGATGGACGACGGGCGAGAGGGTGGGAGGCCAGCCATGGCGTGTGGTGGTATGGGTGTGGGTGCGTCGCTGCTGATGGTGTGTTGCTGGCCGGGATCCATGACAGTCGGATTCACGTGTGCCGGCGGCTGCTTGGCGCTTGTCTTGGTGCCGGCATTGCCGTGCATACAACAGCAGCTGGCGAGGATGAAACGGGGATGTGGTGGTGCTGATGGTTCTAGGATGGATTATGCGTTGCTGGCGTCGTCTGTGTCTGTGGTATGTGAGCTGACGGGCGAGGGGTTTGTGGCGGTGGGGTGTGCGTGGGCAGTGGATAAAGTGGGCATTGAGGCGGTGCTGGGCGGGCTGGGTGTGGTGTTTGGGGGACTGTCTGTTGGGGTGATGGCGTATGTATATCCCTCCCTCTGTGGTTGAACTGCACCTGTCGATACCTACCTACATAAGCGACTCTTGAATGGGTGTGTATGTTATGTTATGTTATGTACATATGCATGCATGTGTAGTGGACACACATAAACAGGCAGACCAACGCACACATTCCCTCGTGTCAGTCACGTGAATCGAATCGCGTCAAACAAAGAGGCAGAGAGACAGCCACACGAACGATTATACACACACATCGTCAACCATGCAACAGCCGACCCCCCC